AACAATAACGGTAGTAATATACCAGAAAACAAGGAACATGTTTCGAAAACATTTAAACCCAAAATGCGTAAGATACAAAAAGGTAGTAAGTAAAAGTTGCTCTACTGATGGCACCTAGAAGAAAACAGAAGGGAAATTTTTGTTGAGAAACAATAATCAGAATCATATTATAAATAACCAATTAACAAACAAGAACATTCTTTTTTTTCATTTTCAAGTAATCCATTCAGTAGAAAAAACAATAATTGCAAAAAATAACAATAAAATTTTCAGTGTCTAATTGACGATCACACTGACACTAGCAGTTAGCCTTTTCTTTTGCAACACTGACAGTACTAAGCGACCCGACATTTGGCACTCTTCTGTTGCTTTCTGCCCAGTTGACATCTTCTTAACATCATCTATGACGATAATTACTCCAAAAAGAAATGCCATCAACTACTTTAGTGTATTAAATAAGCAAAACAAAAATTAGTGAAATAAGTATCAAAAGGAAAGAAAATCAGAGATAAGAGCAACACAGTAATTGAAAAACAAAGCACGTTGTCATCCCTTCTTCAAACAGTGAATGAAAAGAAAAACGAAATAGCCTTAAAAATTGCCGGGTGACTTTTAAATCAGCTTAAAATCTGATACCGCCATTTAGGAATATTTTTAGAAAACTCCCTTTTGCTTGAATGTGACTGAATTCATAAACGATTAAAATAACAATGATAGCGATGATGATGATACACGTGCTTAACTGGAATGATGCTTATTGAAAATAATTTTTAAAAAAAACAATTATGTTTTTCAAGAAAAGAAAACAATTAAATAATGACTGTATTTAGATAAAAATACAAGGCCAAAGTGAACATATTTCTGAATGTTTAAAGAATTTAAGACACGGAAGAACTTTGTAGAGACAATGAACATCAGAAATATTGAAAGTAAAAAATGCTAACTCTGGCCACCAGTCCATACCCAACCAATTTCCTCTCACTAATTGAGCCTGTTGAAAAAGCCGGAAAACGCTGTAAAAATCCTACCCAAAACGACTCAATTTTCAAAATTAATGACGTCATTCCTTTTTTAAATGCAATTTAGCAAAACTTTTTCTCAGTTCAAGATAGTGATAACAAGTTACAGAATATAAGCAATGCAAAAAATAGTAAAATTAAAAAAAAAATAAAATATTCATTAATCTTTTGCTAACACTATCATGGTGGTACATATGGTGGTGGAAGTCTCTGGTTTGTCGGAGTATTTCGAGGACGTGGACTCGATGCTGTGGAAAGTGCAGGTGGCGGCTTATATAATGGATTTTCATGTTGAGAAAAAACCAACGGTGGCCGCTCTTCTTTAACAAGCATTGGCGTTGAAGCATTTGCTGTTTCGTCTTCTTGCGGTATCTCCTCCGGAAATACTACCGGAAGACCTTTAGAAACAAACTCTGACTGCACTGAAAATAAAATCAAATCAAACAGTCTAGCTTCCTCATTGATAACCATGTACAGCTATTAGAAAAAATATCTTCAGCTTATAAAAAATTACTAAGTAACAAGTTCCACCAATTCAATTATTTCTGAAAAGCTCTAACTATTAAAAAAGTAACTTTTTCTTTTTTTAATCCAACTAACCTGTTTTGGGGTTTTTTCGTCTTAGGATACACCATGTGGTAAAACAAATAAGTAGCAATAAAAGTACCACAGTTGCAATTGCCAAAGGTAGTAATAGTGGAAAACCACCAAAAGTTACAGTTGGTTCATATGCCGTTACGGCAGTTATTGTAACATTTTCAACACTTTCGGTCTTTGTAACTTTGCATTCTCCTAAAAATTTATAGAGTTTAATAGACTCTGTTTTTGTAAAAGACAAGAAGAATAGAAATCGGCAGTCGAAAATAGCCAAAAACCCAGTTTACTTTTAATTCAAGAAACTGTAGCCAAAAAAGCTGTTACCTAGAAGTCTCAGTTTAGCACTTTTTATACGAAATTCGGAACCCATATGATCATGAACTTTTGTCGACACACCACTGCCCTGTACCATATCCCTCTCTCGAAGATTCAGAAATTCCACTGGACAGCCGCCATTTGATGTCGGATAAACCCAAAGCACTCTAGATGCTCCACCCTTTCGCTTTTCAATCGCCCTCACAAAATCATTAGTCAAAAGTAAGAAATAAATCTTTTACGTTTAATTTTAAATAGAAATTAATTAATATATGATTACACAGCCAACTCACTTTAGTATAACAGGTTGAAGTTGCCCTCCATTAGTCAATGACTTTACCAAATTCTGTAGTTTTTCATAAAACTTCAAACGTTCTCTTGGTTTAATAAGAGCTTCGTACGGAAACGCAGTTTCAAACACAAATTCATGCTTTGACAACTTATCGTTTTCAGCAACTTCCACTTCAAATGGTGCTGATGCTAACTACAAGCAAATAATTATCTATTACATATTTAATTAAATGTAATCTTTCTATGAAAAGATTAGTTTTAATGTTTCCAAGTTGGCATAATGTAACAAAAAAAAGTTGGTACTGTGTACTAACCTGATTAATGCGATCTCGAGCATCCAAACGAAATCTGAATGTACCACTTTCCAGTGGAACACCATAAATCTTTAAGCTGGGTTTTGAGACTTGATCATCCAACCATTTCGGTTGGTACCGGCCAACCGGTAATACAGCAAGCTTCAGAGACATAGTGCTACCATCCTCATCTCTAAACGTCTCTTCTGGTATCGAAATTTCGCAGATGACACCACTGAATATTTAATAAATTTTGTTACCAATATTACGACTGTTTCAAAAGTAGCGATTGCCACTTTATTTATTAGGAAAATCACAATTTAAAAATGAGCAGAACTGCACAGAAGCTTGCTTTATCCACTCTAAAAATATTTGTATCTATGTATGCTTGAAAGTCATTATCACTGCGTCCCGTCTTAATCCACAAATTTTCAAAAATACTATTACCATTCAAAAAAGATAAATAAAATCAAATAGAACTGAAGATATTTTTTCACTTCTATAAGCAATAGGTAAGAGCAAATAACGTTGTTTTTGATAAAAAGAACCAAAAAAACTGCTCAAAAATCTCAATCTTCTCTTCTTTCGTCGACAACAAAAACTGTGGGGTGAGAAGAAGCTGACCGCACAAGCGATCTGGAAGGTCATAGCAATAAACGAAGGACTACTTTATCCATAATTTAAATCTTTCTTTAAGCTACTGTAGAGAAAAAAATGAATAAGAAAACGAAAAGATTGTTGATGATGATAAATCTTTTAGAAATTAAGAGAAGAATTAATTTGGCATCAGCTCCAGTCAATCATAATCAAGCTCTTGCTGTAGCCTTCCCTTTGCTTCACTCTTTCCCCTGTTCATTTTTTTTCATTTTCCAGCTCATCTTAATAGAGCATTATTTGCAGCTGTACAAAAATACACATAACAATACGATACAGCCTTAAAAATAAGAACAAAGGTAAACTGACACTTGTAGAGGTTTGACACAAAGAAAACAATAATAACCAACAGCTTTTTCTTGAACCATGCTTCTTGCAATCTTCATAAAAAGGAAAAACTAAAAGACAGGCAAACAAAAGGAAACTGTTCCCTATTCGTTTTTATTTGTTTCATTTAATTCCCATTAATACTGAAAATTTATAATCTGCAAACCGCTTCCAAACTCTCTTTTTTTTCCTACTTTTTCTCACTATTCTTGAGACAGTTGTTCTTACTTCCACCTTTCCCACCTCTTGCCTCTAAAAAGGCTAAAAAACAAAATTGGATAACAGCACCTTCACAATGGCTCCTCAGTCACAGACAGACACAAAAAACCATTTAATTTGCTGCTATCGTTATTACTTTTCAACGTTTCCAATATTCTTTCCAGCCCTCTCTCCTCCTTTCTCCTCCGCCCCCCCCCCCCCCCCCCCCCCCCCCTTCCCCCCCCTTTT